AAGAAGGGGGGGGGGGGGGGGTCTCTCCTCTGATCATGAAACAGGCTCTGAAAGGGTGCGGGCGTGGGGCCTTATCTACTTCATACTCGGAAATGGTTTTAGAATGAACTGCTAAGATAAGCTTCCTTGGACGTTTCTCGGTGTTGGAGGCTTGCGGGGCGCCGGGCAAGGGTTTGGGGCATTTTGATTTTGGCAACAAACCCGTAAAGACGCACTGAGAGAGAGGCCAAGTAAGTTTCAACTGGGCTCAGAGAGTCGCGGGGCGCCTGGTCCCAGGCCAAAGGGGTGGCCAAACTCAAGGTGCTGACCTATTCACTCCCCACCAATCCATGGGTGTGGAGGGCAGGAAAGAATGAACCGAGGGGACCCACCAGATTCTCTCCAGTTAGCAGAGCCCCCCCAATCCCAAATCCACCACGCCCCTGGCTTCCTCAGGGGGATCTGGAACCCCAGGAGCGGCTATATGTGCCTTTCCCTGAAATGTAGGTGCAAAACCAAATCAAAGGGGTGAGAAGTCTGGAGAGGGGATTTGAGGTGGGGAGAGGCGGTGACTGGGATGGCAGACAGGAGGGATTCTGGGGGCCGGTAACGTGCTGTTTCTTTATCTGGGTGGTGCTAACACCACTGTGTTCGTTTTGTGAAAGTCTGTAGAGCTGTACAATCAAGATTTGTTCACTTTTCTGCAGAAGTGTTCCACTTCAATAAAATTGTGTATATATCATAAATATGTGTACATAAACACATACAGAGGCCTGTGGAGGCCAGAGTTTGAAAGGAAAGAGATGCAGGAAAGGGTAGGGGTCCACAGAAAACCCCATCCATTTTCTATCCCTAGTGTCTTGGGGTCTTAAAGAGGAATTCTGGGTGTGTTGGAAAGAGGCCAGGGCCTAGCAACTAAGGCTGTGTGGGGCTGGGAGGCAGGGGTGCCGTCTATACTGAGACCAAAGCTTTTGTGGCCGAATGGTTTCTGAGAGCAATGACAGAGCTATGTAATTTATTTCCACTTTACACACACACAGAGTTTTCTACTTCACTCAAAGCATTTTTAAGAAATAGTTTCCCTGAGGTGGGGGGCAGGAGAGAGGGTGTGTGGAATGGATGCTGTTTTGGAAGGCCAGTTGCTTCTCTCAGATTTTTTTGAAGACACTTCCTTCTGATAGACTTTTGCTTTCAGAAAATACTTTAGAAAGAGATCAAAGCACTCTCTCCCCAAACCCACTTTCCCAGTGTCTTCAACCCTTACTTCTCTTATCACCCACGCCACTGGGCTCTGACGCTCTGTATACAGAGCAAGGGCAACTGGCTTTGAAGCCCCGGATTAAGCCGGGCCAAATCCTTGCCTCAGAATAACAAACAATACAGGTTCAACAGGAGTTCTCATCAGTAGTTCATTTTTCAAACACAAATTCACTGTCACTAACACAAGCAACATTGAACTCAACAGGCTATGAAGGCTGATAGTGGAGATTTATCTGGTGGCAAAACCAAGACCTAGGAGTAGAGCAGTCAGACGGTTAGGAAATTTTCATATTGGGGAGGTTTATATTTAAATTTTGTAGAGCTCACTTTTATCTGTGTTTGGGAGAAAATGCAGTTTCTCACATGTATCAAGCTTGGCAGGGATGTGAGGAAGCAGAGAGGGCTCTGTTCTCTGCAGTTAAGGGCATAAACTCTCTGGGTGCAGGGGTCTGAGAGAGACAGAGACTGGCTAGGGAAGGCTGTGGCCCCATTGTATACCTGACATGGGGGGGGGGACCCCGAGCATTCAGAAATTGATGGCTTGAATTGCGGCTGGCATGTTATTCACCAGCTCAAGTTGTTTGAGAATTCAAAATCACTATCCAATGAAGGGGACCCTTTTTTCCTTTGGCCTTCAGCTCTTCAAGGGCTTAAGGCAGAGGTTTGTGACTAAGGACTCATACTGGCTTGAGAACATTCAGGCTCCTTTTCTCCAGCCCCCGCCACCACCCCCACCCCCACCATGCCTCCACAGGCCAACCAGAGAGCAATCATGCCCCTAACCAGCCAGGGTCTCTAGGGCCGAGCAACAACTCCACCTTGCGCAGGCCCCCATAAACAAGCAATCAAGGGAATTTCTCAAAGTTAGGGGTTTGTTCTGGGGGGAGGGGCATCACTGCTTGGCTTGTGTAGACCTGGCAGCTGCCTAGCTCTGCTTCTATGGGCCAGCGCCAAATGCCTTTCCTTCTCAGGGGTTGGGTTTATGTTCTCTTGGTTTTCCTCCAGCTCAAGCGGTCTAGGAATCTATGATTCAAGGTTCAGGAGAAATGTCCAGGCCATCTGCTGAGAAATAGAAGTGTCCCAGGAAGTTGATGGTAGAGACACAAAGAAGAGGACAGGGAGAGGCATTGGACAGGACGCTGAAGGGCCACAAGCCCGAGCAAAGCACAGTGCATTCCAAGGCTGCCATGGGAAGGAGGCAGCGGGAAGGAGGGGGACACGGGGTCAGAGGGGTGAAAGTGGTCTCTGAAGCCAGTGGGCAGCTATGCAGGAGGAAAAAGGGTCTGTGAGAACCGTGCAGGCAGGGGATAAGGCTAGTGACTTTCCTAAGGACTAGACCTGGTGCAAGGATAACTTTCTGTCAGGGAAAGACTGCGATGAATCCCTAATTGGCCAACATCGTCATGGTCATTTAAAAATTATTATCATCACTCCCTGAGGCCTGCCTCTAAGCCTCTAGGGATGTGCCTCTTATGTCACTAGGATCAGGCACAAATATCTGCCTGAAGCCCGTCACCTCTGGAAATGTGTGTGTGTGCACACATGTGTGTGCTCGCGTATGTGTGTTGGGGAAGGGAGGGAGGAGGACCCATGCAGGTGCAGGAAACCCCACTGAGGAGAATCACAAATGCCTTGTTTAAAATGGCAGCGGCCACACATGCTGGTTCATTTTCAAGAGACAAGGTTATTTCTGCTGCCTCAAAATGGAAGTTCTGGATCCTTCTCTTCTTTTCTTCTCTACATCCCAGCAGTAACAAGAAATAAATCCCCTCTTCACACCTATAATCCACTCAACAATTTACCAAGCACTGCTCATAAGGTCCCTGGTTTGAGTCTCACAGTAACTGAAAAAGGAAGGATGGCAGGTAGGTCTACAGTCACCATCCTGTTTTACCTGACACCTCTGAGCCACAGGAAGCTTGGGGACTAGCCCAAGTGCACACAACTAGGAAGAGGCAGGCCTTGTGGCACCTGATCCCCACTGTCCTCAACGACTGTTCCCCCACCAGGTTCCCCAGTGCACCCTCCTTCCCCATCCCCCAAATGCAGCAAACTCAAGTCCTAACATTTCCTTGTTCCTTCCCCCGATAGAGGCCCTGGGTGGCCCTGCCACCTCCCTGACTTAGGCAAAAGGGCAGCCGAGTGCCCAGACCCCCTCCCCCAACAAAACAAAGGAAAATTTGCAAGGCCTCTCAGTGAGCAGACTGGAAGGACCCAGCACCCCTACTCTGCATACAGCAAACTGCCAGCTTTTTGTTTCCTCTGACCCACATCATTCCCTAAGCAGTTTAGCAGAGCTCTCTAAAAAGTAGAACAAAACGCTGAGTAAATGCCAGACATTTCTCTAATTATGATGAACAGTATTCACTAGCATTTATTGTGTGCTTACATGTGCCAGGAGCTGTGCTAAGGGCTTTACATGCAACTGTATAAAGAAAAACCTATTATTTTACAGATGGAGATGAGGAAAGGGCATAGACTCTAAAGTACCTGGCCTGAGGGTTGCACAGATGGAAGTAGGTGAGCGGAACGGGTAGCTCCCCCCACCCCCACCAGGTCTGACTCCCCATCCCCGGCCCTTGAAGCTTCACCATCTTATTCCTCAGAAAACCCAACTATGGGCCCACTGTCAGATAAAGGGACATTTTCACACCTAAACTGTACCCCGGGAATCAAAATCCAGTGTGAGTTTGTGGAGGAGGCAGAGTAGGGGGGAGAACGTTTCTGAACCTGAACCTGAACCTTCCAGCTTCTCCATCTGCAGCCATCTCCCTTCACCTGGTAACCGCTCTCCTCGCGATTCCAACCCCACCCGGGGCGCACCGCCCCAGCGAATCTCTCCATCATGCCCTGTTCTGCATCTTCCTCCTCTTTCC